AGTACATATGCGTATGGAATAAGGTCTCTCTTTAACTCAAGGTACGTGAGTGCAGTATACCCTTCTTTTAGTTTTATTCCCTTTTGCTATTCATCCAGTTATGACACCAGCTTGGTAGGTATATCAGCTACATTACTGGATAGTCACTAGGGCACAAATGCAGAACACAAAACTGGTAAGAGAAATGTAGGTTTTAATTAAAGGGCAGAAAGTGAAGCATTTCCAATAGTTAACAGAAATGCTTAGATTATTTACTTGGATATTTTCATTGAATTTCCTTCTTCCTACTGTGAGATTTAATTTAAAATATAAAGGAATTTTATTGCCAGAAAGGTTTACAGATATTGCTTGCAAAATACCTTTCTTAGTTTCTAATATGCACATCTCAGTGTGCCACAAAAATTTAAAAATAAGGGAAAACACAATGAATGCTGCAAGTATAAGTATAGAGATATCTGTTTCCATTTGGGGCAGGGGCAGAATTAGGTCATCCTGAGTTATCCAAAGGACCATTGAACTCATTGATTAATGCAGTTGGATAACTTTTAGTCCTTTGATTAGTAATTGAAAGTATTTATGCCATACCATTCAACTTACTTTACAAGCACTTCTCTTTAATTATTTGAAATGTTTTTGAAGTAAAAAAATCTTTTACATAAGAATGATGTGCATGCAGATACATAGGGTGAGTCAAAAGTAGGTTTACAGTTATGAGCATGCAAAACAGTTTATTCTTGTATTATTGTTTATTAAATATTGTATTACTCTCAACAGGAACAACTGTAAACCTACTTTTGCTTCACACTCCATACAATAACACCAAGGTAACCTTGGTTCCTCAAACAAAATTTTAATGTCCCATTTAAGAACATCTAAACCTTGAAGACTTAAAATGTTGGACTTAAAACTAGCAGAAAATAAAACTGGTTAGTGTGAAAAGCTCCTTATTATTCTCTGTGGGAATTGAGCCTAGGGAGGCCAGGGCAGTCTGACCATTGGCAACCAGAAACATCTTTCACAAATTTCAAAAAAAGAAAGAGAGGGAGAAAGGAAGGGAGGGAGGGAGAAAGGAAGGGAGGGAGGAAGAGAGGGAGGGAGGGAGGGGAAGGAAAAGGAAGGGAAGGAAGGAAGGAAAGGAAGGAAGGAAGGAAGGAAGGAAGGAAGGAAGGAAGGAAGGAAGGAAGGAAGGAAGGAAGGCTTAATCTATAATACAAACTCAGAGGTGTTTACTGAGACAAGTAGCCATTTTAGAATGTGTATTTCATTGGTATTTAGTGTATTCACAATGTGCAACCACCATCTCCCTATAGTTTCAAAACTTTTTCATCACCTATTAAAAAAAAACAACCCATACCTGTTAAGTAGCCACACCCTGTTTCCCCCTCCCCCATCCATTGAAAATCTCTCTCAGCTTTCTGTCTCTGTGTATTTGCCTTTTCTGTCTATATCAAAGGAGTCATACAATATGTGACCTTAGTGTCTGGTTGCTTTCACTGAGCCTGTTTTTTTGAGGTTTGTGTAGGTTGTAAATATATCAGAACTTCCTTTTTATGGCTGATAACATTCCATTGTATGTATATACCGTAATTTGTTTATGATTTAATTTGTTGATGGACATTTGGATTGTTTCCACCTTTTTACATTATGATTAGAACTGCTACATAAACACTTGTGTGCAACTTCCTATGTGGACTGCTATTTTCATTTCTCTTGAGTATATACTTAGGAGTGGAATTGCTAGGTTATATTGGAACTCTGTGTTTTAACTTTCTGAGGAATTGTGTGTGATTTTAACCTCCACGTCACCAAGCTTGGTTGATTATTCTATCTCCTAAATATCTCTGTTTTTCATTATTATTCCCACTACCATATACTAAAGGTCCACTTTCCAGGATTACTTTACTAACTTCCTTTTTGTTTTCTTTGTCATCACCATGGCCTTATTCTGTGTCATCTTAAAGATACTGCAAAGTTGGTTTTTGATATTGTAAATCTTATGAGGTTGCCTCATTGTTTTAAAAACAGGAACTCATCATCATAGCCCTCTGAATAAAGTGTAAACTGACGTGGCCTACAAAGGCTCTTTTCTGTCTAATTCTTCTGTCTAGTTTCATCTTAACCATCCCCCCACCCCCATTGGTCTAACCATATACTGATGTCCATTTTTCAAGTTTTTCTATGCTTCTCTAACTCGAGCACTTCCCTCCACCTAAATCCTTTGTCTTGTTCAGATGTCTCTTTTCTTTTTAGAAACCCTTTCTGTCTCTTCATGATCATAATGTGCCCTCCAAATTCCTGTACTAATGTTGGAGCATTTGCTACACATTGTGGAAATCAGAAGCTGATAGTTCAGTGCCAGGTGATATAGTGCAGACTAGAAGAAGTATAGTTAATAGGAATTCAGAGGTCAAAAGGAGATTATTTGGTAAATCACTTAGGGAAGGCCTCAAGGAGGAAGGTGTTACTTTGAAGGAAGCATTCGTGAAGGTATGGTTATGATCTGCAACTATAGGTAGATTAAGTCTGTTGAATATCCATGGATCTAGACCCATGAGGACTCATGCTAGGAGCAAAAGCCATGACAAAAGTGAGATATTGGACATTCTTCAACATTGCTTTTGTGTTATTTACATGAAACAAGCAGTGGACACAATTATTTCTATGGAAGAAAAGCATAAAAAGAATGTACAAAAGATTTCAAGAACTTAACAATGTATTGGCAGAAATGAGAAGGAATGGTATACTTCGCAGGGGTGTCCAACCTGTGTCCTGTGGGCCACATGAGACCCAGGATGGCTGTGAATGTGGCCCAACACAAAATTGTATATTACTTAAAACATTGAGATTTTTTTGTTTTTATAAATGTTTGTGTATTTAATGTGTAGCCCAAGACAACTCTTCTTCCAGTGTAGGTAACCCAGAGACTCCAAAAGGTGGACACCCCTGCTGCGAAGAGTAAGGAAATTTTCTAGGGTAATTTTTGAACATGTATGCTTTGATAATTTCAGAGTTTACCCACCTACATTTATAAAACTCCACTAAACTTGTGGAAAATTCAACAACTAGGTGATTTTTAGATACCAGTAAATTACAGAATCTTCCACAAGACTTGTATTCAGTGTTGGAGAAATGCACTGTGTTTATCTAGAAAAGACTGGAAATAAGATAACTCCGTGTGGAAAATAACTGCTTGTTTTGCAGTTGTCTGTGCTCTACCCTGTCCCTCAGTTGACAGTAAAAGTAGGGCTTTCAGCTTCTCCCTCAATAGTTAGCACTCAGTAAGTGTTTACATGCACAACAAAATAAGATTAAAATGTAATTCCTATGTTTGCATTTTCAGTATCTTCTTATGTCTTATAATAGCTATTTAAAAATAAAAATGCATTTCTTGTTTCATGAAATACAATACTGACTTAAAACTATGTATAAAAGTCTACTTTTTCTGTTAGGCAAAAATACTAGACTTATAAAAAATCTCCCCTTAAATTTTGAGAAAAGAAGCCATTCATAGTTAAATAGAAAACTCACTTTTGGCTTTCTCTGTGTTTCACTGGCATTTTGAGGTATTAAATTTTAGTTGAAATAACACTACCTCTGATTCCTCAAAAAAATTATGTAATGTCTTTTTCTCAGTTACCAACACTTTGTTCAGTGTTTTATTGCGCTTTGAGTTGTATATTTACTTTTATTATTAGACTGAGATCCTTGAAGAGGGTGGTAGGAATTATGAGAATTATAAACCTGTTCAGACTCCCAGCAAGTTCTTTCTGGGCTGTTCTCTTGCATGGGCTTTGTTTCTGCTGCTCAGTTTCAGCCAGTCAGTGCTCCATGTCTGAGCTTCCCAGTTGGTGATATATATGCATGCTTATACATTATCATGATTGTGGTGATAGTTTCACGGTGTATGCATGCATCTGTATTTATTAAATGATATAATTTAAATATGTGTCATTCACTGAATCCACATTATACCTTATTAAAGCTGTTTAAAAAATTCCTTACATGAAGCCCATCATCAGTAGGTCATTATTATTTCAGTAAGCCCAGTGTCTCTAGGAACTGTTTAGACTTTGCACTCCTGATTTGTCCTTCTAAGGTCTCCTGTTGGCCCGTGTCTCCCAACCTCACTAGGTCCTTTGCCTCTGTTCTTGTCCCCAGCCCCCATCATCCTCCATTCATGCCAGAGCCACTCTCTTTGGAAGAGAAAAATCTTATGATTGTAGGTTCCAGGTATTATTCTTAAGCTGCTCCTGTGTGCTGGAAGCTCTGGCTGGCAGAGGGGTCAACACACACAGGCAGGACACATGGGGCTCTTTGTTCTCTCCGTGCTCAGAGTCTGATGGGCCACACATGAACATCAACTGTAGGTGTGTATCCCCAAGGTTACAGAGGAGTTGTCAAATAGATACACAGATACTAGTATAAATGAAGGTTGGTTAAGCTCAGCACATTCCAATGAAAAGGTATTAGGCACTGTGTTGGTATTTCTGAAAGTGCACCCAAAAGATCACAGCATAAGAATTGCTTGAAGTACTGGTCTAATTTCCCTCAGAAACAGAGTTTCTGGGGGATGGGCCTGGATATCTGCATTTAAATAAGTTGTCTACACCACTCTGTCACACCACTGTAGAGCCACTTGCAATGGTGGTAAGAACCTAGCTGGGAACCAGGGTAGCAGCGTTAGAGGTCAGAGGGCAGTCGAAGTTGATCTGGGCAGTTTGCTTTACCCATTGCTTCCTTGTGTTAAAGAGCTGGAAATGCGGGTGGGCTGGATTGGGAGTAAAAGGGAGAAAACTGTACTTGAACAATGATTAAAAAAATTTTAAAAAAGAGTTGGAAATGCTTTGGTAATCAGGTAGCATTTTCCTAATGGATCCAGGTATATCCATTTAATAGTTTAGAATTAATAAGATGTATATTCAAGTTTTGTAATTTCTTTGTTGGATGAAAATTATGGGCCTTAATTTTAATGTTTTGATTACATTTTTCTTTTTCCACAGAACTCAACAAAAATCCAGTGGAAGGCTTTTCAGCAGGTTTAATAGATGACAATGATCTCTACCGATGGGAAGTCCTTATTATTGGTCCTCCAGATACACTTTAGTAAGTACAGTGAAACTGACATCAAAGTGGAGCTCTCTTAATTAATTAAAATGTAAACTACTGTGGCAAACTGAAGTGAAATTATTTTTTAAAAGCAGGTGGAATGGTTTTGTTTATATCAGTTGTATGGAATGATCATGTCTCAGGTGTTTTATGTCCTGCTTAAAACTCTAATGTCTATAACCTGTTGCTTTCTTAAGTATATAATAGTTTCAGAAATTCAGTTATTCTCAATACCTGGGATAAACTAACTATAGAAGAGCTATCTATAACGTGAGGTTATATATAAATAATACATATTTTTTTACTTGTATCCCAGAAATTGGATTGGTTTTGTCAGGATAGGGAAGAAGAAAATTCTTTATTGAAATGTTCTCCTCCCCTTCCCTTGTGCTTTCTGTGCCTTTTCTCAAAAGGGAACACGATAATTTTAAAGAGAAGGTTTTATCGTTCTTAACATTCTGTCACGTTAATTAAAGCATACTATCAATCTGGGAGATTTCACGCAGAGCATAGTGTACACATCAGTGTCTAAGCAGGCTGGAAAGAACTTTCAGGATCATCAATTTTAGTGGTTCTCTAATTAGGTCCCCACAGAATATTGGTTAGAACCAAGGTGTTCTCACTCTAAAGTGAACTCAAGATCATCTTTTCCCAGTTTATAAAAGTGTCTGTTACAGTTAGTTATTTTTAGTTAATCATTATTAACTGATGTGAAGAGAGACAACAGAATGTAGTAGCATCAAAGAGCAATAGAAAAAGAGATAGTTTCAAAGGCCACACACAGTCTTATTTTCTGCTCCAGGTGTTTACAGACTAACTTAAATTCACTAATATTTAATGTTCTGTGAGAGGGATCATGACTGCCTTGTATCTGACTGGTACAAGTTCCACATTTTTTATAGAAGTTGAGGTATTGAAAGAAAATGCAGCAACCTTCTCGAAGCCATACAACCAAGGGAGAGTAGGGGCAGATCTGGATCTGAGTTTCTTGGGGACTGCACTTCCTCACTCGACCATGGGCCTTTCTGGGACTAAGCAAGAAGGGTTTGGATGCATCATATATTTTTTCCTGAGGGCTAAGTAGTTTCGTTTTAGGTGTTCTAAGATGGTAACTCATTTTCACTCCATAAAATACATGATGGAAAAGAAAACTCAGAGCTACTTCTCTACCAGAGTAGAGTGGTATATGACATACAGAGTTGAGATGTTGTGTGGATTTTTGGGTTTTCTATAGTCTGAAAAAAGTTAACGTTTTCTCATAATGTATTGCCACTTAAAATTTTTGTTAGTATTGTTTCCCAATGGTATGTTTGCATTGTAATTGTTGCAAACTAAAATAACTTGTTACTATAACCACAGTGTTAGTTTGGTAGGTAACAGTAGCCATTGAAAACTATTTTAGAAGTATTTCCTCACAATCTTATTATTTGCAAGCTGATTTTTTAACTAAATTTTGTACATAAAACTATACATATAATCTGGTTTAAGTTCAGGTCTACTCTAGGTTTTGCAATCAAAACACATTGCATGAAGGTTTACTCAGGGAAACCTGAGTAAAGGAAACACAGCAATATTACAGTGATAGACTCTTGTTACTCTTACAGTTGATATGACATAATAAGAGAAATTTTTCTAAACTGATGTTGTCTGTACAGAAGATTGGTTAGGCATCTAGGCTTGAGCTCCATCTCTAAGGACCTCACAGAATTCTTACACTTTTTTTCATGCAATAGTGTCACATGTGTCTAAATATTATTAGCTGGTCCATATATTTTGTGTACCTTCAGCTTCACCAAAGAAAACCACTTTTTAATACTCGTTTTACTAATTAACATACTATTATTTCCACCAATAAAAACCTATTTCTGGCCTTAGTGTACATTTCAAGAGTGCAAGCTTTTTGACAAGAGATGTGGATAGCAGAAGATTTGTGGCAGCTCCTTTGGAATGTGGACCTACTGATGAGACAATTGGCAGCCCCTTCTGCACTGTCCCTTCCTGATGAGAGCATGGCAGTACCTGTGCTATCGATGAACCTCATTGCCATTGGTATTTTGAACATCTTATGAGTAGTGAGGCCTTAATGAAGTTAACAGACATTATAACGGTCATCTGAAATTACCTGGATCTGATTCCTTTTTATGAATGATCTTTTCTAATTCATGTGCTGGAAGTTATAAAACAGTTTTTAAAGCCCTCAAAAAAGAGGCTTAAGATTTGTTGAGTGTACGTCATCCCTTTTGGCATTGTGCTACTTAGAATGATTGCAAAAGTAAAGCATTACACTGGCATTTACACTACTCATTCATTTAGTTCTCAAATATTTTTTGAGCACTCTTATGCTAGATGCTGGGAGCATGTAATAGTTACTGCTCTCAAAGAGGTTATCTTTAGTTGACAAAACAGGTCATTTAATACACTTTGGTGATAGCTATGGTGGAGATGGACATGGGGTACTATGAGGAATCATTGGGAAGATGGCAGGTTTTGAATGTGTCACGGACCTTTTCCCAGAGGAAAAAGATGTCTAAAATAGGAACTGAAGAGTTAGTGACTGTATTAGTTATTAGGCACTTTGGCTACAAGCAAAAGAAATCTGATTTTAATGGCCTTAGAATACTGTGAACATGTTGTCCTGACACAAAATGGTTAATTAATAGCAGTTTTGAGCATTTCAGAATATCATCCAAAGAAAAAAGAGAAGGTGATTTCTTTAGCAGACTCTGCTTCTTGTCTCATTTGTCAGAACGGAGTGACTTGCTCATTCCTTACCCAGCAACTGGCAAGATGAATGAGATTACCACATCTGGTTTAGATTAATTATTCTGGGATGGAAGAGATTTTAGACTGTCAACAGCAAGGTAAGAATTAATTTAGACAGATATTCTGGCACTGACAGTGAGTGGTAGGGATGAGTGGAAGGGAAACTAGGGATTAAGTATTTCACAGGGAGAACTGTGTACATAGGGCCTGGAAAAGGGGGGTGGAACATAAGGGTATGGCATCTGAGTGAAGTGATATAAAGAATTTGAATAAATGGGATTGGGTAGGGAGTTCAGGGTTAGTCTGACATTTACAAAACACTGTGAAAGAGTTTGAAGTCACCTTTTGTCCCCAGAACAAAGCACAGCCATTGAGAAATTTTATATCAGAAGTTACCAGTTAAATTATATTTTATAATGTGCATTGAATTACTAAGTATTATAATTTGGGGATTATGGCTTTTATTTTCCCTCAGTTTAGTTGTATTTTATTTCTGCAACAAATACATGTTTTTTAAAAAAATTTATTTGCCTATAACATAAAAAATGTACTGGGATTTGGGGGCTACCCATGGTGCTTGAAGTAGAGAGATCACCAGCCTTTGGGTAGGGAACAGAGAGCACATGGGCCTAGGGCAGGACCCTGAGAAAAGGCAGAGGAAGTTAGCCAAGAAGGTATAAGGAGAGGAAAGGTTTTTATAAAAGTAAGCTTTCTAAAATGCTACAAAGAGTCAAGTATCAAAATTCAAATATTTTAAGTGTCTGTTGATTTAACAGTAAGGAAATTACTGGTGTTCTTGTAGTTATTTCGGTGGAGGGAAGGGGATAGGGGCCCAGCAGTGGTTTGAGGAGTGCTGTTGGGAGTGAGTACACAGAACTCAAACATAAATAACGGCCTAGGGAGAGAAACAGGCTGATAATGGGGGTGGATGGGAATGTAGGATTGAAAGTAAGTTAATTTGGGTTTAGATGGTACCCAGGCCTAAGTGGTTAATTTACCACTTAATAATTAGATAATTTATGTAATAATTAAAGAATTAACAATGTACTAAAGTTCTATAAAAGGTGTGATTAGTTCATGGTGACATCATTAGCCTTCATTTAGTCACTAGAGGGCAGTGCACACTCTACAGTCTCTAATCAATCAACTGGTATATTCTTAAGTTCATTACTTTATTTGAGACTGATAGATACTATGAGTATTAATTTAGTCTTTATATTTATCTTTACACAGTCTTGAAAATTTTTTTATTTTTGTTGACACTATTGTAGATGTCCCCACTTGCCCCTCCTTGCTACCCTCCTCTGAGCCCCTGTTCCACCTCAGTTTTGAGTTTTTACTTCTCTATTAATCTTTCTAGTGCTGTTATGAATTGATTCTTGAGGCTTTCTGTGAAAGACATTCTGAAACTGGTGTGATAAACCTGCTGTTTTCAGACAACTGATTGTTAAGTAGTATGTATAGCCACCCATATTTACAGAAATAAAAGTTCATGTAGGAATGGCAGTAGGTTTTTAAAGAAAGTCTCAGAGACCCGGATAGCTCTGAGTAAATAAATGTTTATAACTTTGTATTAATGAGTGGTGAATGGCTTACAACTTTTTAAATCTCTTACTGTCTTCTTCTTTCATCATTAATGGTTGGTCTGTTTAAGTTTGTTTCTTACCATTAGCAGTGGTGTAAAAAACTTGGAGAATGGTAAGAGTATATGTATCTTGTAGTATTGCCTTACCTTGAGAGGATATAGAAAATGAAGAGTTGGCTAACGAAATTTTCTGATCAAAGAAATTGTTTTGTAGTTTTGTTTAGGACTTCGAAGCACAAGCCATATATCCTGTAATGAAATTTTGGAGGGAATAAACCTTGTGCACATATTGCTTAGAAATTGATTGATCATTGGCAATGCTATGTCATTTATCATTTAGTGCTTAAGAATGTGGGCTTTGGGGACTATCTTTGTGTAGCTCCCTGACTCTACCATTTTTATTAGTTGTGTGACTTTGAACAATTACTTAAACTTTGTTTTAGCAGTTTCATTTCTAGGTTAAAAACCCTATGCCTAGGAAGTGTTTGGAATATTCAATGTATTGCTTGTAATAGCAAAAGAGTTGGAAGCAGTCAAATGTCTTATGATTGTATTGGATAAATTGTGGAATGCAGCAGGTAAAATGAACAAGAGACAAGTATCAATAGGAATATATATAAAAGAAAAACGTTGAGAAAAATTTCAAGTG